TTTCATAATATTCTTGTGTGATCCTTTGTATTCCTGCGATGTCAGTTGTAATTTCCCCTCTTTCATCCCTGATTTTGTTTGTGTTCTTTTTCTGTTTTCTTTAGTGAGTCTAGCCAGTGGTTTGTCAATTTTATTAACCTTCTCAAAGAACCAGCTCCTTGTTGCATTTTTTTTTCTTTTTTTTGTTTTCACTTTCATTTATTTCTGCTCTAATTTTGATTATTTCTTTTCTTCTGCTGACTTTAGGCTTCACTTAATCTTCCTTTCCTAGATTTTTAAGATGAAGCATTAGGTTGTTTATTTTGGCTCATTCTAATTTTGGAAGATAAGCCTTGTTATGACATGAACTTTCCTCTTATGATCGCGTTTGCCATGTCCCAAAAGTTTGGATATGTCGTACTATTATTATCATTCATTTCCATGTATCTCTTGATCTCTCTTTTGATTTTTTCCCTGACCCAGTTATTCTTCAGTAGCATGTTGTTTAATCTCCATGTATTAGTGGTTTCTTTGCTTTTTATGATCAGAGAATATGGTTGGTATGATTTCCATCCTTATATTTATTGAGGGTATCTCTGTGTCCCAATATGTGGTCAATCCTTGAGAATGTTCCATATGCACTAATGAAGAATGTATAAGCAGCTGTTTTGGGATGGGAGGGTCTGTCAATGTTAATTATGTCCAGTTGGTCTAATGTGTCATTTAAGGATGTTATTTCCTTAGTGATTTTCTGTTTGGACGATCTGTCCATATCCGACAGTAGGGTATTTAGGTCCACTACTATGATACTGTTTTAGTCTGTTTCTCCCTTTCGTTCTGTAATAATTATTTTACATATTTCGGGGCTCTCTAATTGGGAGCATAGATATTAATAAGTGTTATGTCTTCTTGATGCATGTTTCCCTTTATCATTATGAAGTGTCCCTCAGTATCTTTCTTTACCATTTTTATTTTGAAGTCTTTTTCATCTGATATTAGCACTGCTACTCCCACTTTTCTCAGAATGCCATTTGCTTTAAATATCATTTTCCACCCTTTCACTTTGAGTCTATATTTGTCTTTGGAACTGAGATGTGTCTCCTGGAGGCAGCATATGGTTGGGTTGTGTTTTTGTATCCAATCTGCAACTCTGTGCCTTTTTATTGGTGAGTTCAGTCCATTTACATTTAGGGTGATTATTGAAATATGAGGTCTGATAGCCGTT